AATGCCGTTGGAATTTGGATAGGGGTTGCATTATAGCTATATATTGCTTTTGGCAGTATCGACATTTTCACAATGTTAAGTCTTCCTGTCCATGAGTATGGTATGTTTTTCCATTTATGTAGGCTTTTGTTGGTTTTTTGCAGTAGTGTTTTGTGGTTTTCTTTGTATAAGTCTTTTACGTCCCTGGTTAGATTTATTCCTATAAGTTTTTTAATTTTTGTGGGCAGGAGGGTATTGTAAATGGTATTGTTTTCCTGATATCCATTTCAGAGTTGTTTTTTTGAAGGTCTCTTTTTGATGTGGAGGAATCTGCCTGATTTTTGTATGTTGATCTTGTCTCCTGCTACTCTGCTGCATCCTTCTGTTAGTTCCAGTAGTTTATTGTGGAGTCTTTGGGATTTTCTAAGTATAGGATCATATTATCTTCAAATAGGGATAGTTTTACTTCTTTCTTGCCAATTTCAATGCCCTTTATTTCCTTTTCTTGCCTAATTGCTCTAGCTAGGACTTCCAGTACAGTGTTGAATAGGAGTGGTCACAAAGGGCACACTTGTCCAGTTCCCGTTTTCAAGGGGAATGTTTCAGTCTCTCTCCGTTGAGGATAATGTTGGCTGTTGGTTTTGTGTAGGCGCCATTTATTGTATTGAGGAATTTCCCTTCTTTTCCAATTTTGCTGAGAGTTTTTATCAGGAATGGATGTTGTACTTTATCAGATACTTTTCTGTGTTGATTGAGATGATCAGTGGTTCTTACAGTTTTATTTATGTGATGGATTACATTGATTGATTTTCTAATGTTGAACCATCCTGGTATGAATCCCACTTGGTGATGATGTATTATTTTTTTGATATGTTGTTGAATTCTATTGGCTAGAATCCTGTAGAGAATTTTTTATTCTGTCTAATCAAATTGGAATCAACTCGACGGCAGTGGGTTTGGTTTGGTTTTGGTCTAATGTTTTGGTTTTTTTTACAGGGACACTTTGAAACAACATGGTGCTGGGGCAGGTGGCACTAGAAATATTTCTGGAACCAGTAAATTCCACGTGGACCTGGAGCAGGAGCTTGCTGACCTCCATGGGAAAGATGCAGCACTCCTGTTTTCCTCATGCTTTGTAGCCAATGACTCGACCCTCTTTACCTTGGCTAAGATGATGCCTGGTGAGGAAGCCCGTCACGGGTGCCTGAGATTTTTTTGGGTTTCTTAGTAATAACAGGAAGTTTGGCAACAGGAAGGCTTCTCAAAAACAATCAATTGAAGGGTGAGGGGTGTATCGGTGACTGTTCTTAGATCAAACGTGAAGTGTGAACTGCACATTTGTAAGTTCCAGTAAAACATGATACCAGTGAAGATTCAGACTTGAAAGGGCTTGTCCTTAAGTTTATTGCCTTGAATGTGCTTTGTATTCTAAAAGTATCCTTTGGAGAAATCTCATAGTCATTTTCAGTTATTTCTTGATTGAGTTTGGAATGAGGCGACCAGATTTAAAAGCAATTTAATTGCCCATCACAGGGTTATCCTACATCTGTGGGCCTTCTCAAAGGAGAAGCACTAGTTCTGTTATTTTGCAGGAAGAAGCTAGCATGCAGTGTCTTTTTCCCACTGAGAAAAAGCAGCATTTTTCAGGGCATAGTCTGTTGTCTGACTATCTAGGAAATAGTTTGTGTTTGGTGCAGATGGCAATAAATAATATTTTTGTTGTGTTAGGCTGTGAAATTTACTCTGATGCTGGGAACCACGCCTCTATGATCCAGGGGATTCGGAACAGCCGAGTGCCAAAGTATATCTTCCGCCACAATGATGTCAGCCATCTCAAAGAACTGCTGCAAAGATCTGACCCTTCCGTCCCCAAGATTGTTGCATTTGAAACCGTCCACTCAATGGATGGTGAGTCTCTTGGTGTTTTTAAACAGAGGCTAATCTGACACCTTAAATGAAAAACTAGGCTGAACTGTTTAAAAGCATGAGTTTGGTTTGATTTTATATTTTCTTTTCACTCTGTGCTGGGATCTTGGTTCCATACATAGGTTTTTCTCCTGTGGCTTTCACTAGGCTCTAAGACCCCAAGGTAACCTAGACCTTGTAGGAAGTTCTTTTTCTTCCCAATATTAAAAATGATGCCTTAGAATGTAAGTTATTTTGTTCTGCCTGACTCTAACCAGAACCAAAGTTTGTGAAGTGGAAAGTCCTTCAGAGCATTCGCTGGTCTTTCCTCAGGGGCGGTGTGTCCACTGGAAGAGCTGTGTGACGTTGCCCACGAGTTTGGAGCAATCACCTTCGTGGATGAGGTCCACGCGGTGGGGCTGTACGGGGCTCGAGGCGGAGGGATTGGCGATCGGGATGGAGTCATGCCAAAAATGGACATCATTTCTGGAACACTTGGTATGTATACTCTGCTCATCCTGACAAGGCCCAGGACTAACTAGTCTAACTGGGATCAGGTGAGGAGACAGTGTGATAGCTGATAAAACCTGGGCCTCTTTATGTTAATGGCAGCACAGCTTAGCAGAATCCCTGGAATCATGTGGCAGGGCTCCCAGTATCAGAGTAAATCTCACAGCCTAAAACAACAAAATACCATTTATTGCCATCTGAGCTCATTCCAAACAGTCATGGCTCTAGCTACATGCCATGGACCAGAGCCTTTACTCTCTGTGCCTCGGATTGTTCTCTTGTCTTTAAAAAAAAAAAGTGAATTCTAGTACTTTTCTCTTCGAGTGGTTGTGCGGGCCTGCAGGTTAAGGCATTGTGATGTGTTGAGCTCCGTGCCTATCATGTGGAAACCATTCATTCCAGTTCACTCTGGCTGCTTTTTATTTCCTCTGTTCTTCCTAGTAGAGAGGTGGCATCTCAGACGGTTGGGAGCCAGACTCTGGAGCCATGCTGCCTAGGTTTAAATCCTGGCTGCATAACTCACTAGCTCTGTGACCTTGGGCTAGTCAGTAACCTCTCTGCACCTCAGTTTCCTCACCAGCATAATAAAACCTTCAGAAGTTAGTAAGGCAGTTGCAGACCATTGTTGCCGTCAACTAAAATGCCACTTTGCAGCCTTCACTTGATAGAGGAAGGGCAGGCCAGGTCAGGAAGTGTGAGAACCCTGTGCAGACCAGGAGAGCCTGGGCGTTCTCAGGGCACAGCCCAACCAGGGGAAAGCTCTTGTTCATGCCATCCTGATCCTGGCAGCCGTTTTCTTCTAAAGAGCCTCTCTTGATATGGGCTCTCTGAAAATATGGTCATTGTGAGACAGAAAAGGCTGGAGAGAAATTTTCCACTGTGGGAGAATGTACCAGCCCTGCCCTGCATGGATTTCAAGCAGGAATGTTAATTACATAATGTTACTTAACAAGAAGGTTAAGCTCTATAAAGACTCTTCTAGAATCCTTAATCCTGAAATTTGAGATACAGATTATACAAAGAGACTTAGCGAGAACTGAAAAATAAAGCTGGCTCCAAATCAGCCTTAACAGGTTCTGAGTTTTCATATTTATCTGGCAAATACTAATTGCCAGGTTTTAAAGCACTCGGCTGCTAACCAAGAGGCCAGTGGTTCAAACCTACCAGCTGCTCCCCAGGAGAAACGTGGCAGTCTGCTCCCATAAGGATTACAGCCCTGGAAACCCTATGGGGCAGTTCTACTCTGTCCTGTAGCGTCACTGTGAGTTGGAATCGACTCAGTGGCAAGGAGGTTTATGTTGACTTAAATAGGAAATAACACTGGTCACACCAAAGCAGTGAATGCCTCAGCTGGGTTACATTCCAGCCTCAAGAGTAATGTTATGGTGAGGGGATGGTGCAGGCACTGCAGCTGAGATCCTACCGCAAAGAGCGTGGACAGCACAGAACATGGGAAACAGACCCTTGCTGGGTGGCAGAGCAGCAGCCCGGGCAGGAAGGGCACGTAAGAATAAAGTAGAGAGAAGCGGGGCAGTGGCTTGATAGTCGGGCACCCTGGAACCGGTCACGGGGGTGCCAGGCCTGTTGTGGAGACCTGCATTTTGATCCAGGTCAGGCATCAGGTAGACCATGTTGCTTTGGGCAGAGAGCCACAACTTTCCTCAGCTTTTTCTCTTCTGAAAAGGGGTGGACCTCTCTTTACTTCCCTCAGTCTCAGGGGAAATGGAGAAGATAAGGAAAAATCAAATGCCTGGAGGCTCTGCAGCACCTTACTGTGTACATTGAGAGGCATGGCTGTTATAAACGGGCCTGTCTCCTCCCAGGCAAAGCCTTCGGCTGTGTTGGCGGCTACATCGCCAGCACGAGTTCTCTGGTTGACACCGTGCGGTCCTATGCTGCGGGCTTCATCTTCACCACCTCCCTGCCGCCCATGCTGCTGGCTGGAGCTCTGGAGTCTGTGCGGATCCTGAAGAGCACTGAGGGGCGGGCACTTCGCCGCCAGCACCAGCGCAACGTCAAGCTCATGAGGCAGATGCTAATGGATGCCGGCCTCCCAGTGGTCCACTGCCCCAGTCACATCATCCCTGTCCGGGTAATGGCCTGTCTCTGATCGGATGCAGTAGTTCTGGTTGACACCTTCCTGAGGCTGGGTTTGGACAGGGTGACTGCCAGGGCAGGCAGCTGTAACCAGTGGCCCTCTGCTGTGTTTCTGCCATTGGCTGACTTCACAGTGAGAATGAAGCCTTTGAACCCAGCAGAGGCTCCCTCTCCAGAGCACTGACCTTAACAGGGTGAACATAGAACTTGAATCTGGAAAGTTCCAGAAGCCTGAACTTGGCCAGCTTTGAAGTGTGGCTTTCTAGTCTGTTGACGTCTAAATAGATCTTGCCCTTCCTGCTGCAAATGCTAACCCTGTTGCTGTCAGAGTTGAGTTGACTGTATAACTGGTTACTTTTTCATCCCCAGGGTATACACTTTCCTGGGTGTGGGGACACGGTGTGAACTGGGGTTGCAGAACCACTTGCTTTTTGTGAAATTTACTTCTAACATGGTTTCAGTTCTCTGGTCCCTCCTGAATAATGCCAGGCCCTTGATGTTACAAGTGTTTGGGGGGCACTTTCCCTCTCCCCTAAGCTTGCATAGCGCTACTATAGTCTGACTGTCCCGCCTGAGCCTGTGGGCACTGTGTTCACTAGGAGCCACCTCACCTCCTGTTAACATTAAACTTAGGTTGCAGATGCTGCTAAAAACACGGAAGTCTGTGACGAGCTAATGAGCAGACATAACATCTATGTCCAAGCAATCAATTACCCGACAGTGCCCCGCGGGGAGGAGCTCCTGCGGATCGCCCCCACCCCTCACCACACACCACAGATGATGAACTACTTCCTTGGTGAGTGCCTGGGGGATGCTAGGGCTTTAATGGGGCGTACGGAAAGCTGTCTTTGCAGTATCTGTAATTGAAGGCCTTCAGAGGCATTCAGATTTGTTCTTTTTCCAAGCAATAAAGAAAGGGAAGGGACTCTCACTGTTTAGGACACAGAGAGTTTCTGTTTGTGGTGATGGGAAATTTGGCAGCAGTTATGGGTGATAGTTGTACAACACGATTAGTGTAATTGATATCCCTAAATTATACACTTCAAAAATGTTGAATTGGCAAATGTTGTTATATATATTTTTACAACAATAAAAAACAGTAACAACAAAAAGAATGGGAAAACATATAGTGCCTCAGAGGGTGTTTTAGTTACTAGTGCTGCTATAACAGAAATACCATAAGTGGGTGGCTTTAGCAAAGAAAAGTTTATTCTCTCACAGTCCAGTAGGCTACAAGTCCAAATTCAGGGCATCAGCTCCAGGGGAACGCTTTCTCTGTCGGCTGTGAAGGAAGGTCCATGTCATCAATCTTACTGTGGTCTAGGAGCTTCTCTGCACAGGAACCTCAGGTCCAAACGATACGCTCTGCTCCCAACACTGCTTTCTTGGTGGTATGAGGTTCCCATGTGTCTCTGCTCGCTTCTGTCTTTTATATCTCAAAAGAGATTGGCTTAAGACACTATTCAATCTTGTATACTGCATCAGTATAACTGCCTCTAGTCCATCTTATTACATCATAATGATTGAATTTACAACACATAAGGAAATCACATCAGATTACAGAATGGTACACAACCATACAATACTGGGAATCATGACCAGCCAAATTGACAGTTATTTTTAGGGGGATGCAATTCAATCCATGACAGAGGGTCAAAACTCTAAAAGACATTCAGTCACTTGATTTGCTCTAAGACGGTGAGGGAGTCGTTTTGGAAGTTGGGAGGGAGCCTGCTAATTCACCCAGTGTTTCCAGTGCCCCCCAGGCATATGACTTCAGGACGCACAGTAATGGCTGTTACAGGAGAGAAGAGGCTCTGAAGGCTTGAGTCTCCCCAAGCCCTCTGCACTTCTCTCTCCTGACCCAACCTTGTGTGCCCCCTGAACTAGCCTCACACCTGCCCCCTCTGGTAACAGTAATTGCTCAACATTTTATTCTGCTCTGCACACCCTCCCCTCTCCTGACTTTGCCCACCCTAAAGTCAAAGACTAAGCAGGGGCGTTTAGGCACAGGTCGCCTCTGTCTCGCAGGTGCGTTGTCTTCCTGAGCCCTCCAGCGATGGTGTCTTAGTTATCTAGCGCTGCTGCAACAGAAATACCACAAGTGGATGGCTTTAACAAAGAGAAATTTATTTCCTGACAGTAAAGTAGGCTAAAAGTCCAAATTCAGGGCATCAGCTCCAGGGGAATGCTTTCTCTCTCTGTGGGCCTTCTCATCAATCTTCCCCTGGACTAGGAGTGCTCCGTGCAGGGACCCCAGGTCCAAAGGACACGCTCTGCTCCCAGCACTGCTTTCTTGGTGGTATGAGGTCCCCCTGTCTGTCTGCTCACTTCTGTCTTTTATATCTCAAGAGACTGCTTCAATCTACAAGACACAATCCAGTCTTGTAGATTGAGTCCCGCCTCACTAACACAACTGCTGCCCATCCTCCCTCATTAACATCATAGAGGCAGGATTTACAACATATAGGAAAATCACACAATACGGGGGAATCACGGCCCAGCCAAATTGATACACACGTTTTTTGGGGGACATAATTCAATCCATGACAGATGGGTTCAGCCTTATAAGCTTTGGGGCAGCTCTGTTAGGAATGCTCAGAATTTAAACTGTAGTGTGGTGATGTTGGAGCAGCTTCTTCTCTGAAGGCTTGTAAAATACAGCCAGAGTTGGGTTTTATTTCTCTATTTATATTTCTTTAACAGCTTTACCAAAGTAAAATTCACATACCATAAAATTTACCCTTTTAAAGTATACAATTCAGTGAATTTTGGTATATTCACAGAACTGGGCAACTATCACCACTGTCTAATTGCAGAACATTTTCATCAGCCCAGAAGAAACCCCAAACTTGTTAGCAGTCACTCCCCATTCCCCTAACCCCTGGCAACCACTAATCTACTTTTGGTCTCTATGGATTTGCTTATTCTGGATACTTCATAGAAACGGAGTCATACACTGCGTGGTCTGTTGTGTCTAGCTTCTTCTGCCTAGCACAGAGTTTTCAGGGCTCATTCATGTTGTAGCAGAAGTCAGTATTTCGTTCCTTTTTATTGCCAAATACTCCTCGGGTGTATGGATATGCCACATTTTGTTTATCTGTTCATCAGTTGAGGGATATTTGGGTGGTTTCCACTTTTTGGCTATTATGAATAATACTGTGAACATTTGTGTACAAATTTTTGTGTGGACTTATGTTTTCAGTTCTTTCAGGTATATACTGCCTTTAATTTTTAAAACGTTTCTCCTCCCAGAGAATCTTCTGGCCACGTGGAACCGAGTGGCGCTGGAGCTGAAACCACATTCCTCAGCTGAGTGTAACTTCTGTAGGAGGCCGCTGCATTTCGAAGTGATGAGTGAAAGAGAGAAATCCTACTTCTCAGGCATGAGCAAGCTGGTTTCTGCTCAGGCCTGAGTCTGACCTCAGTTACCTAATCCCAGACCGTGTCCTCCCAGCGTAGTCACCACAGTTGTCTTTATATGTGAATTAAGTTATATTAAATTTTAATCTATAGTAAAAACATAGTTCTAAAAATAAATTCTTGCTTACGTGACGAGTCCTTCTGCTACTGGCTGCGGAATCAAAAAATAATTTTTCTTCATCCCTTTATAAAATACGCTGGTGTTCTGGTAATGGCTTCAGACCTGCCAGGGTGGCAGAACTTCCCTTTGTGCTTGCCCGGCTCCCTCTCCGTGCCCACTGCACCCAGGCCCACTGCACCCAGGCGGCTGGATGCTCGGGGCGGGGGGAGACGCCACGGCAGCCGGTTTCTCGCCCCAGATCTCAAACCACCGTTGTCACTGCCCACAGTCCTGCTGCAGCTGGTTCTCTGCCCGCTTTCCATCACAGCTCCTGCCTTGACGTCCTACTTCCCTGTGAAAGTTGGAACTAGCGAATCTGTCACCACCGAGTCAGCCCATCTGCCTCTTAGGCCTGTGATCTCACCCCCTCCTGTGAAAATGGAGGTGTTTGTGCCCCTCCCCCACTCCCTCTTCTGCTTTGGGTCTCAGCACTTCTTGCACATCCCCTGCAACCATCTCTTCTCTGTCTTCAGTTTCTCCTGCTCTGTTGGCTCCTTCCCCTTGGCCTGCAACAGGCTTTGTCACCATTCAGAAAAAAAACCCTCCCCTTCCAGCCACTGCCCCATCTCCCTTCTGCCTCTTACCTACCTAGTCCTCCACTCAGCCTTTCATCCCACAGTCTGCCTGCCCTCTGCTCCCTGCCTTCCCCAGTTATTCAGGCCTCTCGTTGGGAAGTCAGCTCTCGTCAGGCCACTTCTCATCACTCCACTGCTATCACCCTTGGCATGCCACTGTCGTGTGTGGTATCTGCTCCAGCCTCCCCACACAACAGCCTGGGGAACCTTTTAAAAAATGCATCAAGTCATGTCCCCTTCCTGCCACAGATGTGGGTCTTCCCGTCGCACTCAGATTGGGTTCCAGCTTCCACACACAGCTGACAAAGCCCTCTCCGCCTCATCCCCCGTCCCATCCTCGTTGCTCCCCACGGCTCCGTACGCTGGGCCTCAAAAACGCCAGACTCTCTTCAGGCGCCAGGCCTTGGTGTTGACCATTGTTTTCTCTACTTGGATTTTTCGACCCTGGCTCATGGGTCTGGCTGCCCCCCTTCACTCAGGACAGGGGGCCCCAAGGAGACCCCTGAGCGCTCCGGCTACGGCAGCCCCTCCTGCATTCTCACCATCACGTGACCTCCTCCTGTGCCACCCTTTACAGCACAGTCGCCACCATGACTTCCCCTTGTCGATCATTCTAATGTGATCTCCGCGAGGGCTGACACTTGTCCTTCTCCTCACCTCCGAAGCCTCAAAGCCTAGCACGGTGCCTGACACGGCAGGTGCTCAACAAATGAGGGTTGACTGAACGAGGGCACCAACAACAACATCCACGTCTGCTTCACTCGGAAGAATGGGGGAGCTGGGGAAGAGCAAGCAGCTGGAGAGTCAGCACTTGCTTCTCTAAGCTCTAGAAACAGTCATGCTTCCTCTCCTGGGAGAGGCACTGGCACGCCTCCCCAGGGCGCTGGGGGTGGGCCGGCTTTCCTGGGCACCCACACCCTTTGTCGAGACCAGCCCTGAGCCGGGCTCAGCTGAGTCATGGTCCCACCAGATAAAACCACATATCCAGGCAGGCCACTGGGCATGAGGGAAGTCACATCACCTCTGAACCACCGTGGTCCCTTTCTGCTCGGGAAACAAGCCTCCCTCTGCTTTCCCCGCTCTGTTATCTCAACGCAGCTTTGGGCTTTTCCATTGTCCCTCACATTCCCACGCCTGGAACTCCCTCCACCTCCTTCCCTTCAGACGTGACTTTTCCTCCGAGCATTACGGCACTGTTCTGAACGCTTAGGAAGACTGCTCTTCCTCTTCAGAAGACTCGAGTGGTAGCTGGGCCCACAGGTCTCTAAGTGCACTTTCCCTCACTGCTGCCGGGGTTACGAGAACAAAAGATGGAATGAGCCGCAGGAAAGAGATTGGACTTGTGACCTGCTTAAAAATGAGACGCTTGACTTGAATAAACAACTCTAAGATGTCATGGAAGTGTTCCAAGAACACTTAGGGGCCTGGGGCATTAAATCCAGTGTCCTAGAGGGAAAAGGGTGAGTGATATTTAAAATCTCAGTGGATAGAATTTCCTTGCATTTAAGAAATTCCTCCTATCGGGTTTCCTGACCCTTGTGTCCCAGCCTGTTTGTCTGGTGCCCACTGGCCCCCAGGGAACAGAGAACACAGGAGGGCAACTCCAGGGTCTGCAGACCGTCCCTGGAGTCCAGGGATGCTCCCAAAGGGGCTGATGTCCCCAGCTTTATGAGCCTCTAATTCAACCATGTCTGGCTCTGGGTGGGGCTCCCCGGCCTGACAGGATCATTCTCTGGTGGGAGAGATAAAACATCAAAGCCCCATCAGCTGGGGGTCCTGAGCACAAGTCCCCTTACCTAATAGGGACGACTGAGACCCTGCCAGGATTGCCAGGCCTTTACATCCATTACCGCTAATCTTTATAACAGCTTGCAGAGTAGCTCTAGCCATCCCGGTTCACAAATAAGCAAACTGAGGCTCCTAAAGGCAAGGCCACCTACCCAAGATAATCTAAATGGCAGAACTGGGAGCAGCCCCAGGTAATTTGATGCGAGTCCTAGCTCTTCCCCTGCCTTGCAGAGCCAATGAACAGTGTTAATGGCCAAGGATGGCTGGCTGGCCGGGTGGTGGACAGGCCAGAGCCCCCCATGAGCACCCTTCCCAATCTCGGTGCAGTGGGAGCCGCTCCCACCCTGTCCCACCTGCACCCAGCTCCAACCACCTCCTGCAGGCCCCATCTGATCACGCAGACGGCAGCAGAACGTTGTCCTACGTGTGGACCAAGTGCCCCGGACCCCCAGCCTTGCTCAAGCTGGGCCCAGCAGTCCTCCTACCACAGCCCCCAGCTTCATCTCGAAATGCCCAGCTCTGAATCCTAACCCCCAAAGACCCAGAACTGTGAGCAGGAGTGGGTCGGGGGGTGGATGAGCAGGTTTTACCTGGGAGCCGCCAGAGGCCAGATTCGCTGTCCTAAGACACAGGCAAATTATGCTTCCCACATGCAAAGCAGGGTGCTTTGGACGGGCCCTGCTTCGTGCTCCTGTTCCTGGATGTGACCAGGAGAGTCAGAGCCCATCAGCAGGGGCCTCTCCAGAGATTCCCGCCTTGGGGAAAGGATGGCTGTTGTGTTTCTTCAGGTCCTGTGGTTTTCTTCCCTGGCACGGGCAAGGGAAGTCCATGCCACGCCTCCAATCTGCTCCTTCAGGAGCCAGATCTGCCCTCTCAGGACAGACCACAGCCCGTGCAGGGCTTCAGATCGACTGATGACTGGAGGGCCAGAGACCTTCCTTCCAGCTTGCCCGTGTCAGAAAGAGAAAGGTAGCCTCTACTTTCCTCCCAGCTGTGCCTGGAGGATGGCCACAGTAAATCCCATCCCCAGGGCTGCCCACAATCAGGCTGCAAAATTAGCCGTGTCTGTGGCCAGCTGCCCTGCAGGCCCCGAGCAGTTGAGCTGGCCCTGAACCAGCCTGGGCCAGCCAAGCTGCGCTCAGCTCCCCTTATGCCCAGGCCCCAGCCCCAACCGTCAGGCTGCATATGTCTCCCGTCCTCAGAGGGCAGATACGGGCAGGTACAGGCAGGTAGTGACAGTGTGGGCCCAGGACAAGGCTTCTCAAGAGCCCTGGGCCTGACCCCACCCACAACTCTACACACCTTGTTGGGTGCAGACCCTGGACAGGCTGTTTCCAAATATCGTTCCCCGGGCTCCCGGCAGTGTCTCGAATTCTACACTGGATACCAAGCACAGAAACAGACACACACTCCATCCTAGTTAGAAGTCGCTGCATCTCCCACCTAAGTACAGTCAGCTCTGAGAGGTGGGGACAGGGAAGGGGGGTCCCTGCCTTTGTAGCCGGGTGGTGGCTCCTGTAGGTATCCTTTTGATAACAGAGAGACCCAGCACCTCCAGGTGGAAATAGAAAAAGAGCAGATTGGGAGCTCACCCTAGAATCTTCTGTGGCTCTCACCACCTGCTACTGGGAATCACCCATACCCCTTCCTTTCCAACCTAGGCCAGCCTCCTGGGCCCAGCACAGACATGAGCACCAGAGGTCACAGTCACCCCTGCTGACCTCACCATCAACCTAGGAATGAATGTTCCCCAGAGTTGCTGCCTCTCAAGGCCTTGCTGGGGGCCAGAAATGAACCGGGCCACCAGGTTCTCTGCGTTCAAGGCCTTCTCAGTCCAGTGAGTGAGAGAGGCAGATACCTGAGACTAAGACACCGCAGAGGCTCAGGCCCAGGCATGCGGGGAGAGGCTGAAGGGGCAGGAGACCCACCCCTGCTGTCTGGGAAAGACCAGGACCACATTCCAGGGATCATCATGAGACTCCTCTGAAAGGACGCCCCTTAGTAGCCCGCTCCCCGCAGGCCTGCGGCCTGAGGACCCCCCCTTTCTCCACAGTGATCTCTCCCAAACCACCTCAGTTCTCCCCTCTTTCCTGCCCTCACACCTCCAGTGAGCTGAGGGTTAGCCGTCTGGCCTTTTGTAGCATTTATTGAGTGCCTGCAACATGCCAGGTGTGAGGGGTTGGGGGAGGCGGGACAGTGGAGTTGCAGCGAGGCAGGTGAGGGCATTCCAGGCCGAGAAGAGGTGGGGCATGGTGGTGGGGCGTGCCTGGAGTCACCAGCCCGAATGCTCGGGGCTATTCGGCTGTAGGTCCCCGGCAGAAGTTCCTATTATAGAAGTGGTGGTTGTCCCTGGTCAGGGCCGTGCCCAGCTGGGCCCAAAAGCTACCCTGGCCCCTGGGCTGTTGGGGCCAGAGGAGGACGCTCTGGCGGCAGAGGCGCTGGCGCAGCCGCACATAGCGGGAGCGGTGGGCATTGGGGCGCAGGATCACCAGCACCACCACGTCCTTGCGGTCCTCCAGGAGGCGCTGTTGGGCCAGCAGGAAGCTGGCCCGCAAGAGGCCGCTGACGCGGTCGGTGTGTGCGAGCACAAACAGTGTCTTACGGCTGCTGTAGACCGAGGCCCACAGGTTCTCGAAGAGCGTCTTGCCAGGCAGCCAGTCTCGCTCCTCTAGACAGAGGCGCAGTGCCCTGCGCCCACGGCGCTCCTCCAGCTGCACCCGAAGCTCATTGTACACCCAATCAGCCACCGCACCCTGCGCCTTGTCAAAGACCACGAAGGCGTCATAGGTCAGGGCATCCCCACCCCGCCGCCACCCTCGCCGGGGAAGCCAGGCCAGGCACAGGTGGAAGCAGTACCAGAGGTCCCAGCCACAGAGGTGATGCAACAGGGGCACAGCCAGGCCCAGGACCACTGCCAGCAGTGAGAGGCCAAAGCAGTCCCAGGAGAGGGCCTCGTCCAGGCAGAGGCGCAGGTCCTGCTCGAAGATGCTGCGGCCTTGCAGCTGGCCCGGGCTGCCGCACCTCACGTGGCGGGGCAGACCAGGCACAGCGGCCTGCACCTCCAGCAGGAAGTCCACGAAGACTGCACCACAGGAGCAGTGCAGAGGGTTGGCACTCACATCCAGTACCTTCAGAGTGCCTGCCCAGGGCCCAAACCAGGAGGGGTCCACCGTCTTGAGGGCGTTGGCACTGAGGTTGAGCTCCCGTAGCAACTTGGCCTGGGCAAAGAAGCCAGATGCCACCATGCTGATGCTGTTGCTGCTGAGGTCCAGCCACCGGAGCCTCGTGTCAGCGGGCAGGCTGCCATTGGTCAGGGTCTTCAGCTGGTTTCCCGCCAGGTCCAGCACTTCTAGTTCGGGCAGGAGGGCCAGGTTGCTCCAGTTGAAGAAGGCCAGGTGATTGCCACGGAGTCGCAGCAGCTGCAAGCTCTTGGGGAGATTGTCCAGGGTAGGGGCCAGGAGCGTATGCAGGTGATTCTGGGACAGGTCCAGCCGCACCAGGCCTTTCAGGCCTTGGAAGAAGTGGGAATAGAGGTCTCCTTCGGCCCACATACGGCCCAGGGCGTTGCCACTGAAGTCCAGGGCCTGCAGCGAGCTGCTGCAGAGCTGCTGGGACACCCGGCTGTCGATGTTGTTGTGCGCCAGGCTGAGGTAGCGCAGGGCGTGCAGCTGGGCCACAAAGCTAAGGTTGTGGCCTATGCCCTGCATGCTGAAGGGCTGGCTGTTGTAGCTGAGATCCAGGGCCTCCAGTTTCGGCAGTTCCGTGAATGAGCGCCCGTGGTACAGATCCAGCTTGTTGTGGGACAGATCTAGCACGCGCAGGCTGACCAGCGGCACGAACTGTGAGCCATTGACCGCCTGCGCGATGCTGTTGTAGCTCAGATGCAGGCACTGGAGATGCGAGAGCTGGGCAAACATCTCCGGCTGGACCATCACCAGGTTGTTCCGTGACAGGTCCAAGGTGAAGTTGAGGGTTTTGCAGCTTGGCATGAAGTCCTCAGAGCTGCGGGGGTCCAGTGGGGCTGGCTCGAGGTCCCCAGGTTGCAGCTGGATCTTCTGCCCGCCACCTACCTCCCTGGTGCTGGCTGCCAGCTTCGCAGCTCCACTGATGCGGTTGTCTGACAGGTCCACGTACTTCAGGCTGAGGAAGCCCCCAAAGATGCTCAGCTGGGCCTGGTTGATGAAGTTCATCTGCAGATGCAGACTCTTGAGCATGGGCAGGTGGGCCAGCGAGTGCAGCGTGGTCTCGCTGAGCGAGCGGAAGAAGATGCCGTGCATGTCCAGCTCCTCCAGGGAGGTCAGGCTGCTGAAGGAAGATGCCAGGTGTAGCTGGGCAAAGGACACCTTCTTGTGGTAGTTGAAGGACAGGTTGAGCTTGCGCAGCTGTGGCAAGCTCTCGAAGGCCATGGTTTTGGTAATGCAGTTGTAGAGGAAGTTCTCGCTCAGGTCCAGCACGGTGAGGTTGCCCAGACCACGGAACCAACTGGCGTTCAGGCTGTAGAGAGAACTGTCCTTCAGCACCAGGCCTTTGAGGTGGCTCAGGTGGCTAAAGGTGTCGGGGTGCAGCCGGGGGAAACCACGTGGGCACTCCCTGCAGGGGTTGCGGGCATGGTCACAGCGGCGGCAGTTTCCGCCTATGTCCAACACGCGTAGGGCGGTCAGGTTGGCCAGGTCCCCAGGCGCCAGGCTGACAATGTGGTTGTAGGACAGTAGCAGGGACTCCAGACTGCGGGGCAGGCTGCGGGGCACGGCCGTGAGGTTGTTGTACTTGAGCGACAGGTGGGTGAGGTTGCCCAGGCCGAGCAGGGCACCCGGGGCCACCCTCAGGGCCCACCGGCACGGGTTCCGGTAGTAACAGTTGCCGTCCATGTACAGGAAGCGCAGGGCGTGCAGGCCAGCGAAGGCGGCGGAGTCAAGCGCCAGGATGTTGGTGCGGCTCAGGGACAGCGACACGAGCGAGCTGGGCAGGGCGGGCACAGTTGTGATGTTGTTGTAGCTCAGGTTCAGCTCCTCCAGGGTGGGCACAGCCAGGAAGGTGCCCTGCTCGATAGTCATGTGGCAGGGATAGTTCATGGGGCTGAGGGTGACTGGCGGGCAGTTCCACTTGAGGTCGAGACACCGCAGGCTGGGCAGGCGGGCAAAGTCAGAGGCACGGAGGTGGTGGATGCGGTTGGAGCGCAGCAGCAGGCTGGTGACGTTGCCACGGGGTGCTGCCACGGGGAAGTGGGGCACCGACTTCAGGAACAGCCAGTTGCAGTTCACCACGCCTTGGGGCTGCAGCTCACAGGGCAGGAAGGCAGGCAAGGTGCCCAGGGCCAGCGCCACGACCAGCGCTGAGGCCTGCACCAGGAGAGACAGGGGGTGCAGGGCCCTGCGGCAGGGGCCCTGGGATAGGGGGTTGTGTAAGTGTGCAGTCCCAGCTCCATCTCCACCCACGCCACTTCGCAGGAGTCCTCCAGCAGGGGTTCAAACCTCTCTTCTCCACGCCTACCTCAGGAGGCTCCTCCCTCTCTGCCAGCCCCCCTCCTGCTCCCCGAGACTCACAGGGGAACTTGGCTGTGGAATCTCTGAGAACCTGGACTCGGGTCTCAGATCCAGCCTTTGACTCAGAATTTGGACTCAGAACTCAGACCTGGAATTCAGCCCCATGATTTAGAGCTTTCATTCATAACCCAACACCAGCTAGACAAGAGGGCCCGGTGAGACGGTCAGCGGACCCGCTGGACTTTTCCCCCACTTTCCTCTTCCTCTCCTCAGAGGCCATTTTTCTGTTCTCCTCAGAGGCCGTTTTTCTGTTCTCCTGAGCAAGGTGGCATCTGGCCACTTCCCTCTCACTACCCTGAAAAAACCCATGCCCTCAGCCAGTCTCCCCCGGCCCCTCTGTCTCCCTTTGGCCAAGATCTAGCCAAAAGTGAGGGTCCCCTGCTGTGTCCCCAATGGCTACCATGCCCAGGGTCCCCGGCTACACCAGGCAATGCCCAGCCCAAGGACACTCGCTATGAGTCAGAACAGATTGGAGGGAGGGGTAGGCGGCAAAGTGGCAGGCAGAGCCCAGCCCTGGGCATCAGGACTTTGGCTTACAGCCCCAGCTCCACCTCTGACTGCAGCTCTGGGCCTCAATCTCCCCATCCACGCCATGGGTTCGGGTCTTGGAACTCAGAGAAGGGCTTTGACTCTAATCTCTCCAGGGGTCTGTGGGTGTCCCCAGGGCCATGTAGGTGACGGCCCCTTTCACTGTTGCCTGCGGCCCCCAAGCCCACCGCCCTTCCCCCCTTGCCAAGCCGATCTCTTCCCAGGGCTGAGGGCTGCTCTCCTACCATGATGGGCTGCTGGGCTTCTCCAGAGGGCCGGCTGGCTGACTGCGCTGCTTTGATCTCGGGGTCCCTTCTCCCAGCGGCAGAGGCACAGAGAGAAAGAGGAAGTGAGAATTTCACAACAACTTGGAAGCCCCCTCCTCCTACCTCTACCCCAATCCTGGAGCCCCAGCCAGAGATCCGGGAAAACCACTGTTCTGCTTTCCGGCAAAGTGGGGATAGAACAGGGGGAGGGAGCCCCCACCCCGCCCCGAGAAGCCCTTTGCCAGAGGAGGAACAGGCTCCCCATGGGCCCACACCACCTATGGCAAGGGTAGGGGGCGGAGGTGAGATGAGTCAGACACCATTTGCATAGCCAGATGGCAGACACCCTTTCACCCGTTCCTCTTTCCACTCGCCCCTCAGACAGCCGGCCCTCCCCCATGCCCCTTCTGAGACCCCGCACCATCCCACAAGGGCCTCACATCTGTCTTCGGTGGCACCTGGGGGAAAGAGACCAGAGCCTAGTCCAAGGTTAATGAAAAACTGGAATTGTTCCATTTCTCTGGGCTGGGCGCTCTGACACCTAAGCCGGAGGCCCTGCCCTGTTGCAAGAGGAATTGCACCCTCAGCCTCAGCCCCCTCAGTCCCCTCAGCCCCCTCAACCCCTGCCCCATAGCCAGTCCTCTCAAGACAGGGGCGCTAGCACCTTCCCGCTCCTGCGGCTGTGGAGCTGGTGGAGCACACCAGGGTGGGCAGTGTCAGCAGGAGACTGGGGGCTCCGAGCCCCTCTTCAGGCTGCACCTGCCTTCACTGCAGCCTGGCCACATGGCACCTCCTCTGAGAACAGGATCCCCTCTCTACATGTCCAGCATCCCCAGGTCCCCATCAGAGCACAACCCTCTCCCCCAGGCAGGGCTCCATGGGGCAGGCCCACCGCTGGTCCACCGGGACAGTACGGCTGACCCCGGGTCTGCTCCTCCCAACCCAGGCGACTAACTCAGATGGCTCAGGCCCAAAGCCCCGGGGCAACCTGGGACCCCTCAGCAAGTTGTGTTAGCACCACCTTCAGAATCTGCCCAAATCTGCCCACTGCCCACCACCTCCACGTCCACAGCCTGGCCTGAGCCGCCATCACCTCCCGCCTGGACCAGTACAGTCACCTCCTCACTGGTAGCTCAGCTGCTGCTCTCACTTCCCACAACTTGTTCTCATTGGGGCCCTGGTGGGACCCAGTAAAACCTAAGTCAGATCACATCCCTCCTCTGCTCAGACCCTCATGACTCTCTCGAGTCACAGCCACAGTGCACATCGCATAATGGCCAGCAAGGCCTACAGGGTCTGCTCCACCCCACCCTGCCTCTGTGAGCTGTCTCCAGCCACAATGGCCTCCTCAGCTGCTTGAACACACCCGCCTCAGGGCCTCTGAACATGTGGCTCTCTCTGCCTGGAAGCTCTTCTCCCAGGTACTCACGTGGCCCCTCCTTCGCTTCCTCTGAGTGCTCACATGTCCCCGCCTCAGTGAGGCCTTCCCTGACCCGGCACTCCTGAGCCCCCTTGCTCTGTCTCTCTCCTTTTCCTGAGCAAATTCACCTGCTAACACACGATTGTTTTCATGGCTCACTGCTTCTCGTCTTATTCCCCTGCTGGAATGTCGGCTTCTCAAGGCCGGGGGTCTTTTGTCTGCATCCCCAGGACCCTGCACAGTGCCTGGTACATGGTGGGTGCTCAAGATTTGCTGAGTCAGTAACTCCCCAGCACTCAGCTCTGGACAGGCACAGAGAGGGTGTCTGAGTGATTGAAGAAATGAACAAGCAAATGGGGTCTCCGCTGGGAGGAGGCAGGGTGGGCACCATGGCAGGCGGGCTTCAAGGGGCCAGGCATCCAGCGGGCTCACAGGCCCTGGTGGCTCAGCAGCCTGGGGGCAATGGCTGGGAACCAGTGTTTGAAATGGGAAAGGACAGACCTTCTCCATGTCCTGGCTGGGGTCCCAGCTCTCTTCCCTACAATCCTAGGGACTTTGGCAGGGGCTGAAAGAGGCCCCAGGGATGGGACAGTGCCCTGAGCCCCTGCCCAGGCCACCCTCCCAGGCAAAAGGGGAGTGCCCATCCAACAGCTGAATCCTTCACGTCCCCATCTTTTCCTACTCTGGGATGGGAGGAGCCTTCCATCCACTTATCAGCTCCTGCTGAACCCCAGGCCTGAGGGAGACTTCCTCAGAGTCTGTGGTCTAGAACAGGGACACAGCAGCCTCCTTCCCCTGCTCCCCGGCAGCCTCCCTTGGGGACAGGAAAACAGGTACCCAAGAGAGGGCCGACGAGCTGACAGGCAGGGAAGCCTGCATACGTGTGTGCGGACACAAGCGTGTCCAGTGAAACACCCAGCACAGCCTCATCCCCATCGAACTGAGAAACCTAAACCAAGCCCTTCCCCAGAGTGGTCAGCTGAATGATACTCCCGAGCTAGCCATGGCCTCATCTGCAGAATCTGGGAAGATGCTACTTTACATGGTAAAAGGGACTTCGCAGATACAATTAAGGATCTTGAGACGGGAGATTATCCTGGATTAACCGGGTGGTCCTTAAATGTCATCCCAAGTGTCCTTTAAGAGGGAGATTTGACTGCAGAAGAAGGCCATGTGACGACAGCAGCAGAGGGAAGTCGAGTCAGAGATGCTGTGTCCTGGCCTTGGAGACAGGCAGGGTCCACAGGCCAAGGAATGCAGGCAGTCTCTAGAAGCTAGAAAAGGCATGGAAACGGATTCTCTCCAGTTCTGGCCTACAGAAGAAACCAGCCCTGCCAACACCTTGATTTTAGCCCCTAAGATTCATTTCAGACTTCTGGCCTCCAGAACTGTACGAGAATAAACTTTTGTTTTGAGCCACGAACTTTGTGGTAATTTGCTACAGCAGCCACGGTAAACTAATACACTCAGATCCTTCCCATCCCAGCGGAGGTGTGCCTGCCTCCCAGGCGTGCCTGCGTCCCAGGCCAGGCTCCTGTCAACAGGGACTCACACAAGGCTGCACCCTTGCTTAGACATGGACACAGACTCCCCGTCATGGATTGAATTGTGTCCCCCCAGAATATGTGTCAACTTGGTTAGGCCGTGATTCCCAGTATTGTGTGGTTGTCCTCCATTATGTGATTTTCCTATGTGTTATAAATCATAATCTCTGCCTGTGGTTAAAGAGGATTAGACTGGGAAATAACACCCTTGCTCAGGCCACATCCCTGATCCAATGTAAAGGGAGTTTGCCTGGGGTGTGGCCTGCCTTTTATCTTACATGAGATAAAAGGAAAGGGAAGGAAGCAGAGAGTTGGGGACCTCATACCACCAAGAAAGCAGTGCCGAGAGCAGAGCGCATCCTTTGGACCTGAGGTTACTGCGCAGAGAAGCTCCTAGTCCGGGGAAAGACTGATGAGAGAGCCCACAGAGAGAAAGCCTCCCCTGGAGCTGACGCTCTGAATCTGGACTTCTGGCCTACTTTACTGTGAGGAAATAAATTTCTCTTTGTTAAAGCCATCCACCTGTGGTATTTCTGTTAAAGCAACACTAGATGACTAAGACACCTCCCTACACCCACAGCCGGAAGGGCTGGACCTCCACCTACCAGGCTGACAGTCCCCTAGTGTTGAGACGGGCAGGTACATGCACGAGACCTCCCCCTGCCCAGCGCCTAGAGGTGGTTCTTCAGGGGCAAGCTCAAGTGTTGATTTAAAAATATTTTATTCTTTAGAAAATACAGCATTCACCCATCCCGTCCTGCAGTGACCCCCCTGCTCCAGCCCCAGTGGACCCACCCCTTGTGGCCAAACGCTCCTGGAACCTTAGTCTCAGTCCCCTGGGGGCCAGGGTCATGCTAGGCCCCCACCCAGGCCTCTTGAGCGGCCAGGCAGGATCCACAGACTCCTGGGCACATGGATGAGAGGCAGGGACAACAATGGGGGAGGGTCACAAAGCACCAGCCCGGTGGCCCTCGGAAGCTGCAGGGGGTGTTCAGCTACCAGCACCCCTGCCCCAAGGAAAGCAACCCTCCCCGGGAACCCAGGCTGAAGGAGGGAGATGGCAGAGAGCAGCAGGGTGGGTGGCCCCCCAGTCCACACGCCAGCCTGGTTCAGGTCCAGGCCCCTAGCTATCATCGCCGTTCTCGCTGCGGCCGCGGATGAGGCGCTTGTGGCCTCGCTTGCCCCCTGGACCCTTGGGCTTGGCAAAGGCCTGCTTGAAGGCATGTTGCTTGGGGTGCACCTCGTCGTAGAGGAACTCGGCTGTCAGCTCTGCTCCATCGCCAATCTCAATCTGCATGGGGTAGAGCCACGGTCACCCCCTCAGTATCTCACACCCTTGCCCAGGGGTCTCCTCCCAGATCCCCACCTGGAGAGCCACCCCAGGAACACAGAGCCTGGGGCCTGCTGCCCTGCGTGCCTGGGGCGCCCCCTACCTGCCCTCCAGACCCAGGGGAAGGGGAGGGCATGGCTGGCTGGGGCTTGTCCCTTCCACTGATCAGGTGGGCTACCTGGGGCAATGCACGCCACCCCTCGGGGCTCGGTTTCCCCATCCATCCAACAGGGCAACCATGATCCCTGCTCTGCCATCACCACAGGACATCCAGTGTCCCACATGGAGGGTGGGGTGAGGAGCCCTGAGAGGTGGGCCCTGGGGGAAGGGCCCACCTTCTTGGAGATCTCCAGCTGGAAGTCCTGCTCCACGGAGTCCAAAAGGCGGCTCTTGCAGCTCGAATAGAGCATGCGCTCCTTGATGCTGCACTTGTAGCCCGGCATGGAGTAGATGAACACTACGGGAGAGGAGAGGTGAGGCTGGGCAGGCAATGCCCTGCAGCAGCAGCCTCCCCAGCTGTAGGCCAGCGCTGCTCCTGCCCCGTCAGGATTGGGGCCCTGCCGCAGCCACTCACCCACAGACTCGAGGGGGTCGCCCTCGTGGGTGTGTTTGTAGAGGAAGAAGTGGTAGCGGGCCGCGTCTCGGGGCACCCTCGAGGGCAGCTGGGCCACATCCGTGGGCTCTGTGTGCACCAGCTCGATCGTCTCCCGCTCCAGGTCCAGCTTCTGCCGAGGGCCAGGAGGAGATGTCAGGGCACCAGTGGGGGGTGGCCCAGGCCTACCCCACCAAACAGGAGCTGCTGAGGTAGGCTTGGCCTGCAGGCAGCAGCCAGGGTGGACCTGCGAGTGTCCATCTTCCAGGACTCTCCTCCCAGCAGCGGCCCCTCTGTGGGGGTCCCTCTGAAGAGAACACTCTGGGGCCCAGCCCCAACTCTGCCCCTTTGAAGGCTCCGCTAGAGGAGGATTTCCTACCAAGGGGTGAGCAGGGCAGTGCAGAGGGCCTCACCTTGGCAGGGAGGGGACATTCTGCTTGAAAGGGGGCTGCCCAATTAAGAGGCCATACCTGGACCAGTGGGGCAAAGGGGCCCTGCCTGGGGGAAGGGGTGGCCAAGAGGGCTGCAGAGGTAGTCTGGGGGAAGAGAGGGGCTCGGGGCTGAGGGGTCAGTGTGAACCTAGGGGGAGTGTGCATGCGGGGTGGACAGGCAGAAAGGGGGCAGTGTGCTCACAGGTGGGGCTGGGTGTGAGCAAGGGACAGAGTGCATTCTACCCATACATGGAGGGGGACCCAAAACAGGGACAGGCAGGGACCCGGTGGAATGGACAGTGTGTTTCTGAGTACACGGCTGAGCTGCAGTGGACAGGCTGGGAGCTGTCTGCACATGTGCACACTGGGGTGCTTGGGAGCAGGGCTGGGCACATGGTGCCTGCGTGTGTGCCGGGGCAGGGGCTGGGCGCCCACCAGCTGAATGTAGTTGATCATCTTCTGCTTGAGCTGCTGTAGCGCCCGCTGGGCCTCGGGCTGCAGGGGGAAGGCCAGGCCCTGCAGCGTCTGGTGCTTGCTTTCCACACTGATCTCTGTCTTTACCTGGGGAGGAAGCAGATGGTGAGCCAGGCCCCCACCTGCCAGAACTGGGATGTGGCCCACCGGAGGAGCACAGGTTCAGCCAGCGGGGCCTCATGTAGACTCCATCTGGGACTCCTGCCACCCTGCCTGGCACCCCCAACCCACCTCGTTGATACGGATCTGCTGGAGCTCTCTTTCGGCCGAGGTCAGTGGGGCAGGCGCTGCACAGGATGACAGGTGCTTCTGGTACCCAGCAAAGGAGAGGTCATCCTGCCCGGGGGATGGAGAGGCACAAATGGGCACCTCTGGGGGAAGCCCAGCTTGTGGCCCCTGGACTCCCCCACCCCACCCCCAAGCCTGGCACTGACTTGCTCTGTGCCCTGCACAACACCCCACACTCTGTGGGCTGTGATTAACACCTGGTGGGGTTGGTCCCCACCCAGGTTCCTGGTGGAGGGGAGAAGAGGACGAGGGCTACCTTAACAGTCCCGAACAGCTCATCCTTGATGTGGCCACCCCCAAACTCCTTCTTCACTGTGGCCCGTGTGGCCGCGTACAGCATCTTCAGCCGCACCTGAAGGAGGGGGCAAGCTGTGAGACCCCTCGGGGCACGGCTTCCTCTGCCAGGAGCAGGCAAGAGCCTCTGGGTGGGGACCTGGCTGGCTCATTGTGGCCACACACCCAGCAGAGGGCGCACTGTGGAAGCGAGGATGCAGTAGAGACCGCTCTGGCCAGTAGGGGGAGCACCTGCTCAGGCCATCACTTCCGCCTCCCAAGCCAGGCTGATGTGGCTGGGAGGGCTCTAGGAGGCCCCAAGCTCCAAGCACAGGGCCTTCTCCCTCTGACCCTCTGGGGCAGAACCTGACAGTTTCCCCTCTCAGACTCCCCAGGGCAGGGTCTCAGATTTTTAGGGGGCAGTCCTCTGTTCCCCCTTAAGCCTCCCAGGGCAGAGTCTTGTCTCCCACCTTGGACCCATCCCCCCCGAGCCCTGAGCTTGGGGCTAGGCAGGGGTCCTTCAGACTCACTGGGGAATTGTCAGGCGACCAGGCGAGGAAGACCCACTCGAAGCCCTGGGCATTCTGCGAGTCGAGGCGGTAGAGCAGGTAGCAGGGCTGCTGGGCATCCAACAGCGGCAGCACAGCCCTGTCGTAGTCCTGGTCCCAGCCACCAGCCAGCTCCCGCGAGGCGCCTAGCACGAGCTGCTCTAGGGGCAGAGGCCGGGTGAGCCAAGGAGGGGCCATCTCTCGCCTCCACCTCTGGCTGTGGCCTCCTGACCTGCTGGCCACTCTACCCCGCCTTCCCCCAGAGCCCCGCATGTCCCTGAGGCAGAATCAGTGAGTGAAAGAATGAATGAATGAGGGCACAAAGCTGCCAGTTAGAGGCTGCTCCCTCTACACACCCCCAGCATACACACACATGTGTGTGCACAGATGTGGTCATGAGAATACACCCACAGTCCAACACAGGCAACCCCACGAAGACACGGCTGTGGCCCACAGCCACTGTGGCCCCCTCACGGACACCCACACACCCGGCTGCTCCCTCAGACGCCGCCCCACCAGTACAGCTGCTTAGCACCCAGTCCCCCTGTGCTGCCTCCCACTTCCCTCCTCCCTCAGCCTGGGAGCCCAGCAGGCCCCCAGCCCACCGCGCTCAGAAAAAATGTGCTGAGGGAGGTGGTGTCGCAGCCTCAGGCCACAGGGCTCGCAGGAGCATCTGAAAAAGCAGGGGTTGGGGCTCCCAGCAGACAGGAATCCCGCTGCCACTCTGCCAGCTGTAGTCCCCTCCTCAAACAGTGACAAGGCAAAAGAAGCCAACCTCCCAATGCCCGGGGCCAACAGGCCTGCCACTTTCCTGGCTGGTGAGAGCGGCTGAGTCGGGTGTAGGCACCAGGGCCTGGTTGAGCTGGACACACACTGGGCCTTATCAGCTGTGCCTGCAGGGCACCAAACACTAGCCCCGTGTGCAGAGGCCCAGACTGGAAGGCAAACTGGGCAAGGGGCCCATCACAGCCTGGCCACAGGGGCCCGGCACCTGAATCACCAGCCCCAGGACCCTCAACACACCAGGTCCACTGGCCCAGCCACCTCTGCCAGCCTCAGCCTCCTTGCCTGCCCTCCCCAGAACTCAGATCAGATCAGGCCTGAAAACCAGTAGTTACAGCCTGACTTGGTAACATTGTTTAATCTGTCCTCAACTGTTTTCAAGCTGGGAAATTTTATTTAAGAAGTGGAATTCGTGGCTTCTCTAGAAAAAACAGGAGCTCTGGCCACACTAGGTCACACTCCTATGACCCCAGCAGCTGGAGGTGGACAATGGCCGCCCGCTGGTGGGCCTGGACCCTCTTTTCTACCACTCCCAGGTGACCCAACAACCATAACACAGAACTGAGGTAAGAGCCCACCTAGAGATACCGCCTGCTCAAAATCTGTAGCGATGTCTGGGGCGGGGGGGGGGGGGGGGGGGGGGGGGGGGGGCGCGGGGAGGAGTGGCGACAGGAAGGGGTGAGGACTGGGAACAATAGAGTGAACTGGCCTGGTTAAGGTCGGGGGTTGTGGCTCACCACCCCAGAGGCCTCCACCGCTCATGACCTACCACAATCAGCCCTGCCCAGCCTCTGTGGGATCTGAACTTGGGGACCCTGGACAAAGCCCAGCACAGCTTTGGCTCTAAAGCCTGGGGTGAATCCCAGGTCTGGGCGGAGCCTGCTTTGAGCCAACTCAATGTATGAAAAGTCAGCTGGGCACCAAGCCCACTCGGGGAGTCCCCCAAAGGGCCTACCCACCACAGCAGGGCTGGAAGGCCCCATGAGGGAACCAGCCCACTCCCAGTCTCAGAGTCTGTATTCCTCACCTACCAGCCCCTCAGCACGGACAGAAGGGGAGGAGTCCTCTCCCCACAAACCTCCACCTCAGTCTAACTCTCTGCCTCCTCAAACCCTCCCCACTTCAGGCCTCAGCTCAAGCCCACCGTCCCTACACCTCCTCCTGTGCGGCCCCCAGGGTCTGGGCCAAGGCTCAGCGAAGCCTAGAACGCCTCTGTCCTGCTCTTGGAGTGAGCTGGGTGCAAGTCCCTTCTCCTTGTTGGCGGGGTGCTCCCCAAGGGCAGGACCCCTGGTGCCTCCTTGGTTCCCCCCAGGCTGGCAGCTGAGCCAGGCCGGGCCTGCCGGCACAAACAGGGAGATGGGAAGCCACACAGGGCAGGCCAGCCTGGCTGTGCTTGCTGCTTGCCCTCACTGATTCCCTGCCCCCGCTCAGCCCAGCCTAGCGTCCTGACCAGGCCTATCTCGCCACCTATGTCTGGGAAGGCTGGGTAGGACCCCAGGACAGGGCTCCCCTTGCTACCCCCAGCTCCAGCTTCCTGCCCTGTATCACAGGGGTAATGATCATGCCCACCTCCATGCGCTCCTATGAGGTTCTCCTTTACGAGTGACCTCACCCCCGCCCCATTCCCAGATGAAGAAACTGAGGTCCTGAGGGGGCAAGAAGCCAAAGCCCCTTCCCCCAAGAAGCATCTGAGTCCAGCCCCCAGCCTGTGCCCTAGCCCAGAGGGGGGCACTCACCGTCCTTGATGACAACTTTGATGAGCCGGACAGAGCCAGCCCGGGCCTTCGCAAAGAACTCCTTCAGCTCCTCAGCGGCTACAAGAACAAGAAACATGGTGGGGGCTGAGCAGGCAGAGCGGACAGGGCTGCGTGTGAACCTGCTCTGTCCTCTGAGGTCTGGTGGCCGAGCTGGGAGCCCGAGTTAAATACAGCCCCCCATGTGACTGAGAACCCGAGATGCCTGCCGAACACAGGCTCCCAAATTTAGCCAGCAGAGGTAGCAGGCCTGCCTGCTGGCTGGGACAGCTTCAGTGACAGGGTGGGTGGGGACGCGGCAGCCCGCCTGAGGATGGGGCGGGTTCTGGGACAGGCTGGGCCAGCCAGGGCCAACCCAGGGTGAATGCCCTTACTTCTCCCCTACCCCCTAGGAAGGTCCACTGGGCTGGCCTGGGACACTCCCAGCTCTGCCATATCCACAGGCACAGGAATACATGGACAAAGGCCCCCAACGTGCCCTGACACAAGTATGTCCATTAAAACACACACACAGTGCATGTGCCAATGTGTATATACTCAATCCAGCATGTGTGAATACTCCTGTACACAGAAACACATTTCTGTGGCAGAAAGGAGCACAAACGCAAACACACTCATACATGAACACACTCAGCTGGCCAAACAGAAATGGATACACGTTTAGACGTGCCATCACACACACACAGTCTCCAGATTGCAACAAACACACATACAGGCAAATGCAGAGCTCAGCTACGTGCAGACAAGAGGACATGTAAGTATACACATACATACACATGCACACACCCAGACCCAGCTGCCAGCCGGGCTGTCCGACACCGAGAGGACCTGAGGAGCCACCTTGACCCCCAGCACAGCTCTGCGAAAGGGCAACAAGTCTCCAGCCCGCAGGCAATAGGGAAGGCTTCCTGGAGGAGGAGCAGCTTCCAAAACAGACCCTGTCTTCATTCTTGGGCCGCAGAGCTTGGAAGTGACAGCCAGTGAGCAAGGCCCCGAGTGCAGACGTGACGACATGGTCAAAGCTAGGGAACCATGGGAAGTACAGACCCACTAGTGGCTCAGATGGGGAAGTCAAGGGCCCTGGTGAGCAGGGCCAGGCCAGGTGACCTTGAGGCTGCCCAGGGGTCAGGAAAACTCGTGCAGGAGCATAGCTGGAGGGCTGAGGTCAGAGACTATTTATAGGGCCTGATCCAGGCAGCTCAGGGGAGGGGAAGCCTTTAGGAAAACAAGCCCTGGTCATGTCCTCTGGTGCCCCCCTGCAGGGTGACCCTGAGCCTGAGACCTAAGGCTGTGCAGCTCCCTCCAAGATGGCTGGGTGGGCATGGGCCCGCCTGAGCCCAGCAGTCCTGTGGGCTCAGAGCCACATGGTGCGGAGCTGTAAGCAGATGGACACAGCAGCCAGTGGCAAACCCCATGAAGAGCCTGGCCTCTTGGGCTCCACCTCTGCCTTAGCGTTAGGACCCCTGACCTCTGAGCTGCCATCTCATCTGTAAAATGGGGATAATACCCCCAAACTCCACAGGGCTGTGGTGAGGAACAAATGGGAAAGTGTGACGGGGCCACTAGCAATAACAATTAACGATGATTAACCTTTACTACTACCAGAAGAACGAACAAATCTGTCTCGGAAGAAGTACAGCCGGAATGCTCCTTAGAGGTGAGGATGGCGAGACTTGATCCCACATACTTTGGACATGTTATCAGAAGGGACCGGTCCATGGAGAAGGACATCATGTTTGGTGAAGCAGAGGGCAAGCGAAGAAAAGGAAGACCGGAAGCGGGGACAAGATGGTGGAGTAGTCAGACGCTTCCAGTAGACCCTCTTACACTAAAGACCCGAAAAAACCAAGTGATTCGATTATATATAGCAATCTGGGAGCTCTGAACACCAAAGGCAGAGTTGAGGAACCCGACTGAGTGGCAGGCGGAAGGAGAGATGGTTCGGGAGCAGCGAGGAGTTGCCAGATGTGACCCAGCGAGAGCCTGAGCCCTTCAGACCTGAGCAGCTCGTGGGCAAGCAGTGAGGCAGGCAAGCAGCGGTGCTCGGGAGGCGTATTCCGCATAGGGAGAGACCCAGCGCCAGAGAGTCTACACAGCCACCCAGCACCAGTGAGAAGGAGCCCTAGATCGGCGAAAGATAAGTAATTCTGCACAGCTTACTGCATGGATCAAAAACACCCCCCTTAGGGAAAAACCTCTTTCCCATTTACTTCCCTGCTCCCTGCTCTGCACTAGGTCCCGGACCGGCTTCAGCAACTGCCAAGTCCCCTGGCCCAGAAGTAGGATCCATCACACGCCCAGAGCCATTCTCCCTGCCTTGGTGAGTGAACAAATTAACAAACAAGGGAAAACATAAACTGCCAGCTCCCCTAAGCCAAGAACCCAGGGTAGGCACATCACCTTTGCCTAGGCACAGGCATAAGGGATCCGCGGACTTTGAGTGCCTTTCCCCCTGCATAGACTTGTGTGGGCCCTTCTCAACAGCGTAGGCCCTCATTACCGCAGTACAAGAGGGTATATACTAGAACTCTAGCTTCAACTGTTTCAGCTGTGAAGGGGCAGGTTCTTGACATTTGACACGGCTCTGCCCATTGAGCAGGGTCTTCACCTACCCACATCAGGGGCCTGAGGACTGGTGGCTCCACCCACACCACCTAGACACCTGCGATAGGGGCACATGAATAAGAGGTACCCCCCAGTCCTTACAGCCAACAGCATTAGGTGCTTACCATCTGGCTGCAAAACCTACCCACCTACGTGCTCTAGGCAACAGGGACACACCTTCCTCCTGGACACTCGGGGGCGCCTGTCAGCCCCCTGCCTTGCTCAGAGTGTGTCCCTCTGCTGCAGCCAGATGCCTGTGCCTACACTAATCACCCATGCCTGTCTAGGACTGTTAAGTGAGAGCCTACATCACACACTTGGTGGCTATCTACCTGGGCAGCTGAGTGGAATCCATACAGGAGGAGTGGGCGGACTCCTGAGCTCACATACCTAGTAACAGATCTAACCACCTGGTGACAGGACATTAGAGCTTCAAAGATGCCAATAATCAAACTAGCTCATACAAGCAGCCTATTTGGGCATATCAAAACAAAACAAGAAGCTAGGATAAAGTAAGCAAACATAAAATAAATAAATATAATAACTTATGGTGGCACGGAGACAACGGTCAATATCAAATCACATAAAGAGGGAGTCCATGATGGCTTCAACAAGCTCCCAAAATAAAGAATCTAGAAATTTTCCAGAGGAGGAAAATTTCTTGGAATTACCAGAGGCAGAATACAAAAGATTAATATATAGAACTCTGCAAAAAATTATGAAGGAAATTAAGCAAAACACAGAACACGCAATAGAGGAAATTAAAGAGATTAGAGAAGGGCATACTGACAAATTTAACAGGCTGCAAGAATCCACAGAGAGACAGCAATTAGAAATCCAGAAGATTAACAATAAAATTTCAGAATTAGACAACTCAGTAGAAAGTCACAGGAGCAGAATTGAAGCAAAGAAAGTCAGAATGAGTGAGATTAAAGAAAAGCACTTGACACCAACTTATTTGAGGAAAAATCAGATAAAAGGATTAAAAAAAATGAAGAAACCCGAAGAATTATGTGGGACTCTATCAAGAGGAATAACCTATGAGTGATTGGAGTACCAGAACAGGGGGGATAACAGAAAATACAGACAGAATTGTTGATTTGTTGGCAGAAAACTTCCCTGACATCATGCAAGATGACAAGGTATCTATCCAAGATGCTCAGCAAACCCCGCATAAGGTAGATCCCAAAAGAAAGTCACCAAGACATATTATAATCAAACTTGCTGTCATGGACGGAACTGGATCCCCCAAAAATATCTGTCAACTTGGCTCGGTCATGATTCCCAGTATTGTATAATTGTGTAATCTGATGTGATTTCCTTATGTGTTGTAAACTCTATCACTATGATGAGGTTATATGTGATTTCTTTATGTGCTGTAAACTCTTATCACTATGATGAGGTTATACCGATGAGGTTTACAAGATTAGACAGTGTCTTAATCCAATCTCTTTTGAGATATAAGAGAGAAGCGAGCAGAGATACAGGGGAACCTCATACCACCAAGAAAGCACTGTCGGGAACAGAGCGTGTCCTTTGGACCTGAGGTTCCTGCACAGAGAAGCTCCCAGACCAAGGGAAGACTGAGGACACTGACCTTCCTCCAGAGCCAATGGAGAAAGCGTTCCCCTGGAGCTGACACCCTGAATTTGGACTTGTAGCCTACTGGACTGTGAGAGAATAAATTTCTCTTTGTTAAAGCCATCCACTTGTGGTATTCTGTTGCAGCAGCACTAGATGACTAAGACAGAATTTGGTACCAGAGTGGGGTGCTGCTCTGACAGATATCTAAAATGTGGAAGCAGTTTTTAAACTGTGAATGGATAGAGGAGCAGCAGCGGCAGAGGACCGGCAACAGCAGAAAACCTGCGGCGGCAGAGAACCAACAGCAGCGGAACCAGGAGACCAGAGCAAGACAGCGCTGGAGCCGACCCACGGAGCGAGAGCTGAGTGCCTGCGTGCAGGAGGCTTCCTGGTGGAGTGGGGTGCCTCCTGGCACTTATCAGTGGAGCCAGGTTTGCTGACCCACGGAGCAAGGCAGCTGAGTGCCTGTGTGCAGGAGGCTTCCTGGTGGAGTGGCATGCCTCCGGGCACTTACCAGTGGAGCTACCAAGCTTTGGAACACTTGTCCCAGTAGGGCAGATGCAGGCATGAGGCCGGAACGCTGAGAGGCCACAGGAAGCAGAAGCTGAAGAGACAAGGAACACAAGAAGCCGAGCTGCCTCGGCCTCAAAACGTATGGCCATGACCTCAGGGGTTCCAAAGGGTGGAGCCATGGCCTCCGGTGTTTCTAAGGGTGGAACTGTCACTCCAACGGACTAGGAGAATGGTGCGCCTAAAGCCGAGGGAGCAGAGTTACTATCCCAGTGGGCCTGGAAGGCAGAGCTGAAGCCCTGGGCCAAGGGGCCTCCACTCAGAATCCGGTGACTGTGGCCAATACCTAGAGTTTGGTGGGC